GCTCATATTTACTTTTGGCACAAGCTTCAAAATCAACAACCCGGTAATTGAGTCAAGTCTCACCTGCCCGTTTCTATCAGGTAAGAGCTATGGAAATTGTCGAACACCAACGATCAAAGGAACATGCCTAAAGTTTCAACCCGAGGAGTTCGTTATAGGTCATAGGATTTTAGTCGCCAATTGTCAGGCTCCCACATAATTGGGGAGAGCCCAAACACCAAAGGATCTGGTATACGCATGCATTATTACGTAATATCATCATGGAGAAGCAAGAAAATATACCACGAGGTGACACGACGTGGCAGTGTTATGTGTCTCTAAATGAGGTCGAGTGATGTTCTTACCAAGCTTTGCTTGTCAAACAGTGGTGCATATATATATCGATCTAGGCATGAGAAATGTTTTCCACTAATTGCATGCATTCCAGATTCCGAGATGCACATGAAATGTGCCTGATTCATGCCGTCTTAATTATATCAACTTAACATTTTATAAAATTTGCCACCATGGGATTTTTATCAATGTTGGAACGAATTTTTTTTCTAACGACGGGCTATTTTATGGAAAAAAAATTGAGAATTAGCACAACATGAGTAAAATAAGGATCATTTCCTAAAAATTACGTAGGAATCCACAATGCATTTAAACTTATAAGAGTTTAATGGATTGACAGATCATCGTTTTACTTACTATACAACTCTACATTAACCAATGACATCCCACAATCATAGAGTTTAATCCATTAAATGTCAATTAAGCATGTCTTCTCATTCAACTGTCCTACTGAACTATGTATTGTGGATGCTCTAACTGACAATCTAGTTAAATTGTGTTGTAAATTTAGTCTAAGTCTTATGAAAACAAAACAAAATGAAAAATATATGAAAAAAGACCAGAGTTTTGACCTTTATTAATTTCCTTTACAACCCCAAGATCATGGCTATATATAGCCATGCATGGGTTGGAGCTTGATGTACAGCTTCATTCGTTTGAAAGTACATTTAGAGGGAAATGGTAGACTCTCTCACCGTATATTGAGTATTAATTATCCAGATGTAGAATTGCTTGGATTAAGATTACAACGTGTAGTTCTTCATTTCTTCACTTTTCAGTAATTTTTTAATTTTTGATCCATATGCAGGCCACAGCCACTACTGATATAGTAATTGGACCTTGGGGAGGTGAAGGTGGCGATACTCCCTGGATATTCAAACCAGAGGGTAGGATTGTCGATATATCCATCCGAAGTGGAGAAGCAGTAGATTCTATTAGCTTCAACTACACGGATAAAGAGGGTCTTGAAGACAATTCTGAAATATATGGTGGCGATGGTGGCTTACTTCATGCGGTGAGCTTTAATAACATTTGTTACGTATACATATGTAGAAGTTATATTCTTATTTTATCATATAGCATTCAGTTATGATATATTTGGATATTCAGTTTGCCTTGTCTGAGGGTGAAAACATCATTGGGATTAGTGGAACTATCGGAAAAGTTTCAAACAACACAGTGATTACATCATTGTCTTTCAAGACAGACATAGAATCCTATGGGCCATACGGCATGGAGGAGGGGGCAACTTTTTCTGTGCCGGTCATTAAAGGTAGAATTGTTGGATTCCATGGAAAACATGGGGCTTTGCTCGACTCTATTGGTGTCATTCTTAGTCCCGCAGAGTGAGACTGGCCGAGATAATTTGTGGCATGCAGCATGCATGCATGCTAGCTGTTTGAAGTGATACCATTCTCATAATAAAGAAGCTTGAGAGAAACATTGTGAAATAGTTGTGTTGTTCATAATTAGTGGTCCAGATCTGTCACTCGTACGTAGGCTTTATGTTTTAAGATCCTAGCATGTATGCACAATAATTATGTGAGATTATAAATATAAGCACACATATATAGGAAGTTATAGTGACAATATGCTCACCGAATAATGTACTCCTTGATTAAAAGCTTAAAAATGATTTTTTTTTCTTTTTCTTGAGACGGCGACATACATTAATCTACTCCTAAAACTATTAATTAATTCTAGATATAACACTACAAGAAAACAAGACACTAGCGGCGACAAAAATCTTCGCTAAAACTTAACATTGTCACCGGTAAAAGTAATAGCGGCGACACGTCGCCACTAAAAAGTCGTCAGTACTGTCCCGTTGCTATTGCTCAAATATGTCGTTGCTAAAGGTAATTGTCGCCGCTAATAACAAAGTCGTCGGCAATACCCACTGTCGCTGGTAATACCTATATCACCGGTAATAGTATGTGTCGCCGGTAATATTATTTTTTTATTTTTATTTTTTAAATCGGCCTTTTTCAAGTACAAAAAAAACAATATTTAATGACATTAAATGTAGAAAACACGAAAACATTAAATGCAGAAAAAGAAATTACATAACGACATCCAAGTAAGTACCAAGGTGCAATAATTCATACAATAACTGAAATAAACAATAAAAGTGTTATAAACTTATGTCACAACAAGTCTAACGTACAAAACACAAACTAATGTGACGAACCATCATCTTCGCTCTCATCGTTTCCTCCTTCATCATCACTTGGTGGTTTCCCCGAATGAAAAAACGCATAAAGTTCCTCCTTACACGTCGGGTCCTTGAACATTACACGAAAATTTTTCAACTACATAATAAATAACAACATATATAAACTTATAAGTTAAGTATCAACATCTTGCTAGTTTTTAATAAAATATTCCGCTGTTCCAAAAAAATAATAAAAAAGGTAAAAAGAAATAAAAAGGGGCAAAAGACTCCTTTTAAGGATAAAAACTCAACAAAAACATAAATTGAGGACTTAAAAAACAAAATTAAAGACAAAACTCACAGATTACTCCAAACCACAATATTCGTGTAATTTACCCTATATAATATATTCTATATTCCTATTAGATATTATATGCAGTGCTGTCCGTATAGAAGTGCAGCAAGACAACGTGTCACCAACTCTACGCTTCGGTGGCGACTTCCATTAATGACAGATGTACATCTATTCTCTATGCTTGTCTTCTTCTTCATCCTTTCGATTACGTATGCATTTTTGCATATAACACAGGGTGCTCTTGCTCTTGTGGTTTTTGTTTTCTATTTTGATCGCCATTTCCTTCACATTCAACTGGAACCATCGCCACTAAGCATTGTCGGAGCTCATGGAAGGTAAATTCCTTCAATTTCTTCATATTCGTTTCCTTCTTCATCTACTTCTTTTTAAAATTTTGATTTCGGTGTAGAAGATGCATTGATTGCTTCTGTTTAATCTTCTGTAAAAGAGTAATAATCCGTCTGGAAACAACACTCAAACGTCTAACTGAGATTTAATTTCATATTTGAGTTTTAATGTCAGTTTTTCCAATAATAATGTATAATATGATGCTTTAGTTGCAAATATATCTCTAAAACTATCTCTCAGATTGCATGATCAAACTTGTCATTTTGTAATTTATTACAGCATACATTTTTGAGGACGCCAACAACAAATGGTTTTAATCGGTGATATTGATACAATCATACAATTGAACCAAGTCACTCAACCAATTATCGTAATTTTAATGACTCAAATGTGTCACAAAAAAGTTCAATTTCATTATCTAGGAATATATTTCACATCTTGCACATTAGGTGTGACGTCTCTGCTAATTTATTGTGCATTGTGTGTGAAATTTCAGATTTGTTACTTAAGAAATGTGTGCCATGTGACAAGAAGGATTTGAGCCCCATGAGGGAGGAAACTGCCAATAGGTTTAGACTCCAGGTATGGTTTAACATAAAAGAAGGGAAATTTATCTTATAATATTGATTAAACCCTAATCTAGCCTAAAATATTTAGACTTTATCGGAAATTTTGCTAAAAATATTGATTTTTGCTTCTTTTTTTTTCACATACGCGCGCGCGTTCGGCAGTCATTTACATTTGTTAAACCAAATTTATCTTATAATATTTTATTTTTTTTGTTTTTATCATACAATGTAAACAAATTATAAAAAAAAGGTATTTGACAATAGCTTTCAAATTCGTTTGTTTCCACGGCTCCGACCCTGAATTCTAGCGTTTCCTCACCCTCAAATTTCAATATTACCCTTGTTTTCCCGAATTCCTTATTTGACTTTATTTACCCTATTTTTCACTAGCTTTTTTCGTTTAACCTTAAACATTACACTAAACATATATATTACCGCGGGTTGGGGTCCTATGGGGTTTTTTACATCACTACATTTTACAAAAACAAAATTAGAATGAAAAAAAAAAAGTTAAAATACTCTTCATACTATATTATTTGTCCTATATTACATAGAATTCTTTTGTGTCCATGTTAGGCTGTTATACAAAAATAAGAAATTTGCTCCAATTAGGTCCCTATGATGGGCTATAGCATATTTAATAGTTAAGGTCCATTTTGGTCATTAGTTTTTTTGTACATCTAACTATCTAAGGTCCATCATAAAGAAAATGTTTTTTTGTTTGTTTTTAAGACCATTATATGCTATTTTTACAATTATTACTTATATATTTTTTTTTATTATTAGTTATTAAATTGTAGTATATTCTTATCCATAGTTTATTATTCGTTAATTATTTGAAATAAATCATGCTGAAATATTTAAATAAATTGCCGTAAGTGGGAGCAAATAAACTGTATTTTTTTATGTCTTTTTATCTCACTAATTGGCTAAAATAAATTATAATTAAATATTTAATCAATTGTCACGAGTGGACACAAATAAATGTATTAAACGTTTATTACTTTTTATTTTATATTATGTGATTTTTATAAAATTATTACTTACATTCGTTTATTATCAGTAATAATTAATTGATAGTATCCTATTTTCTATGTTTTATTTGTCGTATATAATATTCGTATTACAATCTAATAGAGATAACAAGTATAGGTCAACTATCATTAGTAAAGGGTTGAAATGTCTTTTATATCATTTTATTCTCTTGCAATTTGTAGATTTTTTTTGAATGGCGAATATAATCTATTTCTAAATTACTCTTTAATTCTATGTATGTCCACGAAAGGACTTGAACTCTCTACGACTCTACGTCTTCAAGAAGGAAGAACAACACCTAATACCGTTGGACTAGAAAATAAGTTTTAGAGATAACAGAACAACGAGTAACAAAACTGAAATGTTTTCCTCATATTTAAAGTTTCTATTAATGGATTGAAGTGTTTTTCACATCTAATATTCCTATTACAATTTACTAGATATAATAGAACAACGGGTCATGTATCGGAACTAAAAGATTTTGTTTAATGACCTAGCGTCAACAAAAAAAAACAACAAAACAAAAAACAAAAAAACAAAAACTAAATCTAAGAGGCAGTAGGGATAGTTAGTTGGAGTATTTCAACTTTTTCCCAATTAAATTGATAAAGTGGTTTCGTAAACACCCGTTAGAAATTCATTTTTATTCTTCGCAAATTACAAAATATATTTACTGGAAAGAACACGGACTACACAACTTCTTCGTTAGAAATTCATTTTTATTCTTCGCAAATTACAAAATAGATTTACTGGAAAGAACACGGACTACACAACTTCTTCAATAAGGTTATAATCTAAACTCTAGTAGACCACAGGTTCGATTATCTTTTTTTACTTTGCTTGATATATTTTACAAAAATCCAATATTGGTTATGATACATATATTAATATCGTTAAGCGAGAAAAATCATAACACCATCTACAAGATAATATGCAATAAAAAAGAAAAACATGAATGATGTCAAGTTGTTGATATGAGTTCTGAAAATGGAAATGAATCAATACTTGTGATTTAGGTGCCCAAATGGGAGTTGGTAAGTGATGATCATGGTGTAATGAAGTTGCGTAGGAAATGGAAAGTAAAAACTTTCCTTCAAGGATTGGAGTTTTTTAAGGTTGTTGCATACTTGGCTCAAGCAGAAGGTCTCTCTATCTCTCTTTGGGTTTTTTTTTTTTTGGTTTACTAATTGGATTATATTTATATGTGATTTTGACCGACTCTAATGTTTTGTCTAAATGCAGACCATCATCCAGATCTGCATCTCGTTGATTCTCTCAACATAACAATCGAGTTATGCACACATGCTTGTGGTAAGAATTGCTTCTTGTTTTAACAATTTTGTATTTCATTAATTTGTAATGGCTTCCAAATCCGTACAAATAACTTAGCTTGACCTCAATTCTTAAATTTTCTTTTTTAAAGAAGGGAAATAAACCCAAAAGAAAGGACATGACTTGGCATAACAAAACATAGCATTTAAACATGCATTTGACTTTGAGTGAGACTAGACTTAATATCAATATAAGACGAATTATTATTTTTTGTCCGACCCAAAAGGTGGGACAACATACACGAGTTGCGTTTTGTTTTGTAAATGCCTACTAACAAAACAGAAATGACACAAATGATGCTTATTTTAGGTGGACTCACGGAGAACGATTTCATACTTGCTGCAAAGATTGACAAATTACCTCTTCAACAGTTCCTTAGGCATATGTGAGTGTGTTGGTTTATAGCCTCTCAATCACTTGTATTTTTTGCAGAAAAATAAAGAAGGAAGATGAAGTAATTTTCGTGTGTATGTAGTGAATGGAGAGAGAACAAATTTCCAAAAGTTGTGACTGAGTTACAGTCACACGTTTCTTCATAGCTTTTTATAAACAAAAAACAAAGCATTTAATCTAGACAACTACTTAACTACTACTTGGTTTTGTTTCAACTACAATATTAAAGAAACATAAATGATAAAGATGACTTGATAGTCAAACTAGAGTAGGTGTTAATAATAAACAAATGGACAGACAAGGAGCACGCCTGCCTGCTGTGCCATCTGCTTCTTCTCATTTTTTTAATAAATATTATGGATTATAATAATATTTTCCCCTTTAATCCATAATTTTTATTTGCTTCACTTCCAATAAGTTACGCATTTCTTCAAACTTTTTGCTTGCCATGGATTTTGTGAGAATATATGCCTTCTATTCCTTGTTGCTCACGTGCATGACTTTTATGTCCCCATTCTCAACACATTCACGTATGAAATGAAACCTTGTGTCTATGTGTTTGCTTCTCCCATGAAACATTGGGTTCTTTATCAAATCTATGGTTGATTTGTTGTCAACATGCTGCACCACAGGACTAACTTTCTTTCCTGTTAACTCGCTAAGCAACCGACGCATCCATATCCCTTGGCACATTGCACTTGTCGCCGCCATGAATTCTGATTCGCATGACGAAAGAGCTACACTCCTCTGTTTTTGCGACGCCCAAGTAACCGAATTTTCATTAAGATAAAATGCCATTCCGGATGTGTTGCGTCTGTCATTTACGTCCCTTGCAAGATCACTATCTGTGTACCCGGTTACAATGTCTTCTCCATCCCCCCTGGTGTACTTTAAGCCATAATCAATGGTTCCTTTGATATACCTCAGAATATGTTTCACTGCTTGTAGATGCTTGAGTGTGGGTCTTTCCATGAATCGACTTACAATCCCGACAACATAAGAAATATCAGGTCGAGTGTGTGTAAGATATCTTAGACCTCCAATAATGCTTCAATACTCCGTGGGATTTACCTGGTCTCCCTCTTCATCTTTCGTTAGCTCTAACTTGGGTTCCATTGGGTATTTACATGAGTTGCATTCAGCCATACCTGCCTTCTCCAGGATATTTTTCGCATAAGCTGTTTGCTTTAGAGTAATACCATCCTTTTGTTGATCTACTTCAATACCCAGGTAGTATGACAATGAGCCAAGGTCACTCATTTCAAACTCCTGTTGCATTTGTTCTTTGAAGAGCTTCACCTCATTACTACAATTTCCTGTAATAATCAAATCATCGACATACACCCCAACTATTAAGAGCTTACCATTCCTCTTCCTTGTGTAAACTGCATACTCTTGTGGGCATGTAACAACGTAAATTTTAAAACAATTTTTCATTTTTCATACATGATAAAACTCATATAATATTCTCAAGATC